CAGGGAAGGCAGCCAGGACTATTGTAAAATGCTGCAAGGGGAAGTGTTCCTTCTCTGGCCCCCCTCCTCCTGTGATGGTGTTTTCAGAGCTGGACTCCTTGAGGGTGGGAATAGAATCTTCCAAAGGACAGGCTAACTGAGGAGAGAGCCTTGGGATCCTGGATACTGGCTGTCCAGGCAGATGAGTTTGGTGGGGAGATGGAGGCAGTTTTGGGTCAAGATTTCTCTAAGGACCAACCCAAAGCAACCACATTGGGGCTTTCAAAAAAAATTCATCCAAGGTCTGTCTGATTATTCTTGTCCTCTGCCCTGTCTCTCTGGTCATCTGGCTGACTTCTCTCTGGGCTGGTAGCCAGAGAGGACTTTGTGATGAAGGCACCAGGGGGGCCCTTTTGTGGCCTCAATTGTTGCCCTACCACACTTTCAGGGAGAGGGAAAGGGAGTGGAGGGTCAATGGGACTGTGTCTGCCACCTGTCTCTGAGAGCAGGGCCTCAAATGCACCTCTTTGTATGAGATTCCAGGCATCCAATGGGCTCCAAGTCTTCCCCATGTCCTTGGATGTTGCAGGCTGAGCAGGGGTGGCCACACACATGAGAAGCCTGATCTCTGCCTGCCCGATGTCCCTCGACCCTGGTCAGCCACTGAATCTTGAATCCTAACCCTAAGAGGGGGAAATGTCCCTAAGACCAAAGTGTTTATGTGGTCCAGTCCTGCCTCACTTCCAGGGAGGTGCATTTCCTGCAGAGGCGAGAATAGGCCCAATGAACACCTACTGTGTGCATGCCAGGGTCAGGTGAGGGAGATCTGCTCATCTTGGGCTGCTCTTCAAAGAGGCTGCCAGCAAGCTGGAGGGCACCCAGGATGTGGTGGGATTATTAAAAGAAGGCAGGCTGCCTCCCTTGGAGAAGCAAAGACTTTTGGGGGTGAAAAACAACACATTCCCCTCTTCAAAGAGAAAAGGCTGAGATCAAAGGGAGAAAGCAGGAGGCCAAAGGTCGATTCCTGTCTGTCTGTGGAGTGGTCAAGGGCTCATGGATTCTTAGTGTCTATGTCCTCCAAAGTCTACCTTTCTAACTTCATGGAAAAGAGGGCCGGGTGCGTGTATTCTAGTTAATGTACCTGCATGTTTTGCTCAGGCACTCTCCTACACACACAAGTCCAGCTTTAGACAGATCACCAGAGGCAGCAAACACCCACAGAGAAGCAATACATCAGGGTAACCACAACCCCACACCCCCGCCACTGACAGTCCCCTCTGAAGCATAATATCCCAAACTAGAGATAATGCTTGCCAATCACTGAGCCGACAGGCTGTGTTAGCTGATCAATCTGCCAGTATGCCTGCTGGCAGATGATGCCATCCATGCAGGCGGCTTGCTGGGGTGTGCTGCAGCCACAGAGGGCAAAGCTGGGAGCATGGGACAAGGGGAGACCCCAGAAACAGGGGATCTCAGTGTGAGGGAAGTTTCTATCTCTCAGAGTCAGCTGCTGTGTCACGGGGAGGGGCTGCTGCTAAGGAGAGTGAACGTCCTGTCATGTTAAAGCAGGAGAGAGGATAGGATGACTATGGTGCTGGATGTGGCCGAGGCCGTCCCTGTCTAGGTGGATTTGTTGAGGGAGACCTCTGCTGTCTCCTTTTGGACATCCCAGCACACTCTTGTCCCTGAGCTCTGAGAGTGGGTGGTACAGAAACCATGGGTATGGGAGACTGAGCTTGCCAAGTGTCCAAGGAATAGACCAACTTGTGCTGAATCTTCAATCCTCAGGTTGGGAGCACTTCCTCTCTAAGCCCTCCTGGCCATGTGCAAGGAGTTACCCAAGGATGGACTTGTCAGTTGTGTTGGCCAGGTATCCCAAGACACCTACCACCTCAAGCCCCTCTAGGGCAGCTGGAATGCACACAGGACTCTGGCACTTGGTTCCTGGTGGTGACTCTTGGAGCTTTCAGGCTGTGCTAGGAGGAATTCATGGGTGGTCCTTGTTCTGATTCTGCCATCACTGGCCCATAAACTGCACATGGAGGAGCATATCATGGACCACAAAGCTGAAGTCTCCTCTAAGGTGGAACATCAAGATGGAAGGATCCTGGCCTCTCGTAGTAGCTAAGCTCCAACTTCACTCAGACTGTTTACTCAGGAATTCCGAAGCCTTTCCAGGGACTCTGGATTTTATCATCTCAAGGGTCATCAGGCTGTATGCCACCAACCGGTATCTACTCATGAACCTATGTGTTCATTCTAGTCTCCGTCCCCTGATGTCTATAAAGGGAAGGACTTTTTCTTTTCTCTTGGTCTTGCTCAATGTACTCTCCCTTAACCCCAGCACATAAAGGTTGATGCATATTGTTTGCAGGTGTGTAAGGATGATGATGGGGATACAGGGAGAGAACCCTTTTAGATTTACCTGAAGTACCACCTGACCCCTTCACCAATTCTCAACACTCTTCTTTTAACCCTTTTAACCCTTAGTGGGACGATGGCAAAAGTGTCTATACTAGGTGAGGGTCGTGTTCAAAATTAATTGAATTAAATTAATGTATCTTGAGGAACATGGGCTTTATAGCCCCAAGACATGCCTTCACTTCAATCCACAAGGTCACATGGTGAAATTCTTCACCTGCCCAGTGTCTGGCATGTAGGAAATTCTCCTTAGATCTGTATAGCATGACAGATGTCATATGCTCCTTATATCTGTGTAGCATAGAGATGGCTGTCGTTGCGGCAAGGACCTGATAATGAGGCCACTCACACCAGCATTACCACAGTCACTTCCCTAAATTGATCTTCAACACTGTAGAGTCAAAGCGAGTCACTTATTGGTCAGTTCTCAGATGGAGTCACCAAGGAACAGCTGAGCTACAGAGAGATTATGTGTGTGTCAACACAGATGTGAAAATGTCATTTGCATCTGTGGGTGTATGTGTACTTATGCATTAAATGCATGCAACATTGAAGAGGTGTGTGCACATGCATATCTGTGCATATGTGACTGTCCTTGTGTGAGCGTGTAGACATGTGTAGAACCTCTGTGTACAAATTCTTGGCTGCTGGGTCTGCATTTCTGCTAGTACATTTTTTTTTCTGGTGCACACCAAATCTTGGTCTCTTTTCTTTTCCTTTCTTCTTAGAAATCCATTACTAAAAGGCTCCCCCCCCCCCCTCCAGGGGAAGGGGGCTAAGGAAAGGGAAAGCTAAAATCACAAGGCCCAGATCAAAACACTCAGCAGCTAAATGAATTCGGCAGCATTTTCCCGCATGACTTGGAGGGATAATTTAGTGAGGCCGCCAGCTGGAAGGAAAGGGATTAATTCTGCACTTAGCGCAGGTTCCAGTGAATAATTCATCACTGGAGACCTTTGTGCCCAGCCTCTGGGCAGCAGGGGACGCATCCTACCCACCTGCCTGTTGCCTGTCTGTCCCCATCATTCTCCTAGCCAGGGATACCTAGCTCTCTCTCCTTCTTCTGGTTGCAGAGTGCATGTGTCTTGGGGCAAGGCAGGAGGCAGAGGGAGATGGCAAGAGACTAGCAGTGACTATTGACAGATCCTAGACCCTGAGACGGCCCCAGAAGCCTGGGATACTCTTGGGAAAAATGTCACATTTTCCCACTTCTCCTTTCTTAGGATTAAAAAAAAAAACCTTAAAATTTCTAGTTATGATACATGACACATGTGTGTGTTATTATCAGTTAGTGTGTGTGTGTGTGTGTGTGTGTGTGCGCGTGTGCGCGAGCACATAAAGGTCAGAGCACAACTTTGTGGCATCAGTTTTCCCCAAGTTTATATAAGGTCTGGGGATCCAACTCAAGCTGTCAGGCTTGAGCCAGCTCAGCGGTCCTGGGTCTCTGTGGCGTCTCTCAATGGGTTTTCTTATTTTCACGTTTGATTTAGTGGTGAGTACAGGTGTGGGTGCCATGAGCAGGGGTTAGAGGGATCTGGAGGGGATGATGGTGAACACCACACTGGGCCTTTTGTGCTGTCACCATCCCAGATATTCTCCTCATACCACACACTGTGGAATTCCCATGTTCTTCATGGGTAAGGACATAAGGCTCTGAACTACCGTATGCTGTTGGATTTTTTTTTTTCTGTCCTGAGAAGCTAACAAGAGTAGATTAGCCCTTAATCAGCTCTTGAGCATTTCCTAGGTTTGGGGTCAGATTGCCCACACCCTAGTACCAGAGAGGGAAGTGGAGAGGTTTCAGTGGGTGGCTTTTAGGCACACTAGATCCATGACCAGCGTTGAAGCTGGAGTGAGCCTAAGTGGAAGCAGCTAGAAGAGCAGTGGCCATGTCCCAGGCAGGGCTTGCCTGGTAACCTTTCTACTTGGACCGACTCTGCCATGGCAAGCAGGATCCCAAAATGGGTCCCCAAGTCCCTACACCTTAATATTTAGAATTGCCAAATAGAGAGCCACCACTTCCATGATTCTGTATGACACAGCAGACCCTGAGACAAGATGATGATCCAGTTCTTTTAAAAGCACAGAGTCTTCTCTGGATGCTGACAGAAGCGAAAGTCAGAATTTCAAAGTGTGCTGGGGACTGGCTGTGCCTGCTGGCATCACAGTACAGGGACCATGGTAAGAAGGCATGTGGGCGGTCTCCAGGAGCTGAGAGCACCCTGGCTAGCAGCCAGCATGGAATCTGGGCCACCAGTCCTACACCGCAAGGAACCTGGTCCTGCCTGCCCCCCAAAAGAACCCCTGTTATCTTCCCAGGACTCTGACCCCCAGTTAAGCAGGTGTGGGTTAGGTTAGGTTGGGGCAGAGGTAGCCTCCTGGGCCTTTGTGGCCTTTTGTTCTTGCCTCTTCCTAGTCACGGCACTCTGCCTGACTTCCTGGGACCTCAGACCCCCTCAGAACTTCCCAACTAAACCAGCAGACTCCTCCTTCTCCCTGGCCCCAGACCCTGAGAGTCAGCCCCTGAGAAGGACATTGTCACTCACTTGGGGGTTATGGGAGCTGACACATGTCTGACCTTTCCAGGCCGCCACTCTTACCTCAGAGGACAGGAGCTGGAAGGAGAGATTCACTGTGGGGGGCTCTCCACTGATGGTCTTTAGGTGGGTGTCCTAGGGAAGAGAAGGGGCAGTGAGTCTCCATGGCCGGGCCAGTGCAGGCAAGACCTCTCAGGTCCACCCCTTGTTCTGACTCCTCCGGGAAGAAGGAGGGTACAAAGGCGTGTGGGAGGGATGCCAGAGCTGGCCTTCTTCTGCCTCCGTTCCAGCAACGCCTCCACTCGGCCCTTCTCACTCCGTTCAGCACCTGACTGGCACCTCCACGCTCGTCTTCTGGCAGAGCAGAAGTTCCTGCTTGCTGTTATGTCAGAAGTATTTAGGGAAATGGTGGCACAGAAATAGACAATGAGGCTGGGTGTGGTGGCACATGCCTGTCGTCCCAGCACTTGGTAAGCGGAGGCAGGAGGATCAAGAGCTCCAAGTCATCACTGGCTACATAGCAAGTCTGAGGCCAGAGACCCTGTCATATATACACATACATACATGTACATACATATATATACATACACATACATAGATATACATATATATGTATATATATGATGATAAAAACAGTAATGATAAAGCTATTTTTTCTAGTGAGGATTGAACTTTTGGCTTCTTGCAAGCTCACATACTAGGCAAGTACTCTTCCACTAAAGCTACATCCCAAGCCTTGTTTGTTTGTTTGTTTTTATTTTGAGACAAGGTCCCCACACTGGTCTCAAAGTCATTCTGTAGCCCAGACAAGCCTCAAAGTTTCCATCCTCCTGCCTCAGCTTCTGGGGTAGCCAAGATTTATAGGCCTGCACCACCAGACCTGACATTGAGAAGCTATTCTAAGTGCTTTATGTATTTCCTGACCAAATCCCATAGCAACCCTGTGAGCAAGCATGCTTCTCTCCCTCCCTCCC